TCGGGGGTCCACAGGCCATCTGCACTCTGGGGGTAGGATAGGATGTAAGCCTCTTCCCGATCATCCAGGGAAATGTTGAGCTCCTACCCCTCAAGGGCCAGCCACATTGTTTGGGGCACCTACACAGGCCCGGGCACCCTTTTGAGTTCAAGGTGAACTGTTTCGGTGTTCCAGACCCCTAGGTGGCTGAGCTCCCTGCAGGGCGTGGTTTTCCAGGGGAGCACATGCACTGCTTCCTTCCAAAGGTGGGCCTCCCCCACAGCACCGACTGCCAGCCTGCTGGGCCTTGTCTTGTGGTGTGTGAACTTCTCCCCTCACATCCCCTTCTCCGCTCCACCCATCCCCCACCCCCGGAGGGAGGAGCATAGAAGGTGGTATTTCCATCTGCTACTGGATAAGAAGGCAATAGCGACCATATTGACTACATAAAACTGTGTAAACCGTGGAAGACTCAGCATGTTGGTCAAACAAATAAACTGTCCTAATTCTCAACACACAGCCTGTGTCTCATGATCTCAGTGGCGCAGTCATACAAGGGGGGGAGGGGTCAGAAAGACGCGTGTGCTCCGCAAGCACCCCTTTGTCTCGGAGGCATGTCTCCTCCCAAAGCCCCTTGCCTCCCCCTGCCCTCACCTGGTCCCTCCAGGGCCTCTGCTGCACGGGCAGGGTGAGCCAGACTGGTGGGGTCGAATGTACCCTCCTTTCCACTCCAGTCTCCATCTGCCTGCAGGAGACCCAGAGAGGGTGCTCTCCCGCCATCCCCCTCCAGTTACCACGCTGGTCCCAAGAGGGTGTTTGCAGGGGCTGGAGCTGCTCTGGGTGACTGCCAGGAAGCCACCACAGGGCAAGCACCACAACTATCACCACCTTCCTGGGGGTACCAAACTGCCACACCCCACCTCCAACCTCACCCCACGCCAACCAGGAGACATCTGAGGCCCCCGCAAGCGTCAGTCCTCGCCAGACTAAAAGATGCCCTGACAGCCCTGAAAGCTCCGAGTCCAAATCAGGCCTTCAGATGTGCCACTTTCCTTTGTCCTTGGTAGTCCAGAGCACTTCTTCTTTTCTTGGTTTGTAGACAAACCCCACCCGCGACTCCCAAAGTCCCCACAGTCCTCGTGTCTGTGTGCCTCTGTGTCCAATCTGCTCTTTTATAACTCAGAAGCAATTCGATTTAGAGCCCACCATACTTGGGTATGATCTCATTAACAAAGCAAAGATAACCTCTGTCTAAACAGGATCACAGCCACGTGTGTGGGATTAAGATTCCAGCACATTTGGGGGTGCGGTGGGGCAGAGAGCGAAATTTAATCTCAGCATATAGTGATGGAGGTCCAGCATCGGACAGACCTGTGGGTGGAGATTCTGAACGGATGAGTTGCCATTGGAATCAGTAAAGGCTCAAATGGGTGGAGCCTCGGCTGCTGCCCTCGCCCTTTTGTAAGGAGGGAAACCACAAATGTTAATCCGGAAAGACACACTGTTACATGGTGTTGCCCTGAAATGTCTGACCCTAAGGAAGGAACTCGATAAATAAACTGTGGAAGATTTGTCCTGGGCTCACTAGCTGGGGGGAAAAAAAAAGAAGCCCTGAGGCTCAGGTAGTTCTGGGACCGGGTAAGATGAATGGAGAACTGCCCAGGCCTGAGCATGCATGCTGGCTGCCGAAACTTGCCTTCCTCGGACTGGAGCAGGTCAAGTTCACTAGCTCTCCTAGTCTGACTTCACCACCTTTCCCCTTTGGTTCATAAAAGTTCTGGAACAGTCTCGCCTGCCCCTTCAGGGAAGCCATCTCTGATGACGAGGGGCAGAAGTCACTGGCCCTGCTCGCTAAGGCTCACTTCTGCCTGTCCCATCAAATGTGAGGTAGGGCAGGCTCGGGATGGCAGGCGCCGGCAGAGGCCTAAGAGCCAGAGTGCAGTTCCATCCCCACACTCACTCCCGCAGTGACAGTGTTCAGGGGAGTGAATAAGCCCACAACAGGTGGTGAAACTCAGACCTGTCTGCAGCCCCTTCCTTGCCAGGGGGGTCCCTGCTGCAGCTGGACCGAATGCTCGGCTAGGAGGTGCCCAGCCAAGAGAAGAGTCGGCAGGATCACCCTGTGTGAACCAGACGGGCAGCACCAAGGGCTGCCTCTGTGCCTCTGTCACGGCAGCGGGGCTCCGCAGCCCAGTGACCAGCAGTGCAAAAGGGAGCTTTGTCCACTGTAACGCTAAAAGCTCCTGGAAACAAAGAAAGAGCATATTCCAACAACACAAAGTGATCTCAGGTAACCACAACACCCAGTGCTTCCCTCACGCGGCGTCCCAGGGCCTCAGGGGACCCTGGGATCCCAGATGTTGCCAGGCCAAAGGCAGCTTAGCTGGGAGCTGGCACAGTAGGGCAGGAGGCCATACGGCAGTCCATCCGTGAGGGCAGCACGGCGGCAGCTGACCCACGTGCACAGCCACAGTGGTGTCCACGGAAGCAGTGAGACAGGGAAGGCAGGGGACACTGAAAAGGCACGTTGTAACCTCAATGGGGCCACCTGCCTGCAAAGGAAGGATTGCTGCTGTTTCCCACCAGGGCCGGGGCGGGGCCGCGCCTACTGCAGGGAGGAGCGCGGGAAAGGGAAG